AGCCGGGAGCACGGCGGGCGGGCGGGCATGGGGCGTCCCGGGGCGGCGGGCGCGCTGCGCTGACGGCCCGGCCTCCGCGCCATGCGCCGCTCGAGCACAGACGAGTCTGCGTACCGGCGCAGCCCGTCGCCCGAGGGCAAGAGCCCCGGCCCATTCCGGCGCGGCAGCAGCCCGGGCGGGCGCCCGGACGCGGGCGGCGCCTTCTTCGGGCTGCACGCGGGGCCCGGGCCCCGGGCGGCCCAGGCGCGCTACTCGGCGCCCCGGGGCAGCAAGTACGTGGTCTTCTACCTGGACCTGTCCTTCATCTTCCTTCTAGAGCTGAAGCGCTGCAGCATGGCGCGCGGGTGCCTGCAGGGCGTCAAGTACCTCATGTTCGCCTTCAACCTGCTTTTCTGGGTGAGTCGCGCGCACGTGCGCTGCGGCGGGAGGTGGGGCTGGGGGCGCCGCCTGGGCCTCCGGCCTGGGCCCCCCGCCCCGCCTCCAGTCCCCCACTCCACTTCCCCGACTGGGTGCGGGGTCGCGGTGGCCCCGAGGGGCTGTCCCGAGGGCTGGGTGACCCGCACAGGTGGCCAGGAACTGGGGAGGCGCTTGGCTTCCCGGGCCCCCCTCTGGCAGCAGAGCGCCCCTGACTTTGTAGGGTGCCCTGGGGTTTGCCCAGATGAGTGTGTGGGGACCACCAAGGAGAGGGCCGCCCCTGCTGCCTAGATGGGGGCAGAGTTGTCGCCCCACAGTACTGCTGCAGGCTCAGGCTCAGATAGGCCCCGACTGGGGGGGCGGCTGGGCCAGTGAGTGTAACTGCACGCTGGGCCTGGGGCTTCTTCGGAGGCTTGGGGGAGAAATAGCCAAGGTCATTCCAGGGTCTCTGCCGCTCTGAGCCAGTTGGGTCCTCCCATGACGGGGTGAGGGGTGCCCGTTTGTGCAGGGTAGAGGTCAGGCCACATTTGCAGAAAACTGGATTTGTCTTCTCACCCTCCTTTCTTTCCTGGCCTTGCTGTGACGGGGGTGGAGTCCCTGGGCTGGGTCACAGCCTGGGCTGCCTGTGGGAGTGCACAGAGGCCTCTCCCTACAGTCCCTTTCAGGAGGCTCCTGGGAGGGCCGAGATGAGGGCAGGTGTGGCGGGCTCTGCCGGGTGCTGGCTAGCTTAGTGTGGCAGAGCCCAGCAGCTGTCCCGTGCATGTGATGGACAGGGATGGCTGCAGGTGCCCGTGTGACGGGGGAGCAGGGCCCAGGGGCCGCAGGGGCAGCATGATAGAGCTGACAGCTGTAGGTATTACTGGAAGGGTGGGCAGCAGGTGAGTGTGGGGTCAGCAGACACCTGCCACACCTCTCCTCCTCCTCCCTGCCACCGCCTGCAGGGGGATGGAGGGGCATCTTCCAGGGAGGTCCCTGCCCTAGAGCCACCCCGTCCTTAGGGCCCAGGTGGAGCTCCAGGCCTCACTGCCAGCTCCAGAGTGAGCACACTGCTGCCTGCTGCCTGGCCTCCTGCCCCTGGAAAGAACAAGCCCGCAGCCAGCAGGGACATCTGGGCTGGAAAACAGCCCCTTTATTAACCAGGTGTAACCTCAGCCGATGATGTCTGGCACAAGTCCCAGCCTCTCCCCACCCCAGCCAGGTGCCCAGTGGGTCTGAGACAAGTCCTGCCCACACAGAAAGGGCTGAATGCTTGTGGAAGGACTTCGTGGGCTTTGCTCAGAGGTGGCTGTGATGGCCTGGTAGGTGTGATGTCCACCTGACTTTGTCCCAGAGTTGTCCTGGTTGGAGCTCCTTTCTGGCTGGGGAAGGGGTGTGACTGTGAGCAGCAGTGGCCGGAGCACCCATTTCCTGGAACCTGACGTGCTTTTGTCCCCATGCTCAATGAGACACAGGCATGTACCCCCATCGCTGCCTTGGTGGGCCCCCTGGGGCTCCCTGAGCAGCTGCAGTCCAGTGGGACACTCACCTCATGCTGGGTACATGGGCATCCGTTCTCCTGCAGTAGGCCTCTGATGGGCAGTGGCTCAGCTCTGTCCAGCCTTCCTCTGGGGTTGGGGTCGCTGGATGGGCTGGGTGTCTCCCGGCAGCCCTGTCCTCACAGGAGAGGGCTGGGCGTAGGCCCTGGCTCGTGGTGGGGGGCTGGAGCTATTGGCCTCTGGGACCCTCTGTCAGGCCTCGTGGCTGTCAGCGGGCTTGCTGCCAGCAGAGCTCGGCTCATAATAGAGGTTCAGGTCCCCAGGGCTGGGGGAGTCGGCCTAGCCTGGCTCCCCCCACCCCCGTCCTGGGGCAGCCAGCAGGGTGAGGTTGTCTGCATGGCTCCACTGTGGCCCTCTGGTCCTGGGCCTTGGGTGTGCAGCCCGGTTCCCCAGGATGTGGCCGTGGCTGCTTGAGACATGACTCCCCAGCTCCAGCTGCTCCCTGCAGGGGCGGTCCAGGCCTAGCGGGGGCCAGACGCGGGCAGCCCTGCCTGCCAGCCCCCTTCTGCTGCCCAGACACCAAGGGTTATGAGTAAGTCCTTCCTTCCCCGAGGCCTCAGTTTCTCCATTTGCACCACATGGGGGTAAACAGGTGTGGAGGCCCCTCAGCTCCTGTCCTGTGACCTGTACCAACCCTACCGGACCCCAGGCTGGAAGAGACCCTGTGTCCGCCTACTCTGTGCTGGGAGGGGACCAGCCATCCCACCCTACCTGCGTTGTTGTGCTGGCAGCCTCAGCACACATTCTGTCATCCAAAGGAAACCCTGTCTCAGACCCCTGTCTAAAGCTGACAGCAGCTGTGGGCAGGGCCTGTGGCCTTGGGTCTTTGGCCTCTGAGGAGAGGAGATGATTCCTGAGGGACCACAGCTCTCAGACTGGTGCAGCAGGGGCGGGGCAGAGTCAGACACACAGGGGACATCCCTCTGCTGCCGGTGACAGCAGCTATGGGGCTAGCAGGGAAGGGCTGCTGTGCTGCCTGGTGGGGACTCGGCCCCTGATGGACCGTGGCAGTGACTGGCCAGGGCTCAGGAGGCCTCAGAACACCAGTCATTCTCTGTGTGAGTGGACAAGCACACTCCTCCTGCGTAACTGGCATCCCAGTCAAGATGGCAATTCCCGCCCACCAGGCAGAGGGCTTCTGGACACAGCCTCGGCCCCTGTGGGGACCCAGCCCTCACTTGCTCCAAAGACGTGGCTGCCATGCCATCTGCTACCCTGAGCCATATGGCTGAAGGGGCGCTGGGCAGAGGGCTGGCTGCCATTCGCCCTCGTGGGCTGGAGTGGGCACAGGGTCCCCCATACCCAGCCTCGGGCCAACCCAGAAGCACAGAGTGGAGAAGCAGAGGCTTAGGCACCTGGGTCAGGCCAGGGCTGGACAGGTGTCGGGGTGACCCTGGTGAGCCGTCCAGGGCTGTCATGGCATCACCGCCTGCAGCAAGGGCCTGGGAACTGGGGAAGTCCAGGGTGGAAGCTGGTAGCTGGGCTGTGCCCAGGCCAGCTGTGCTGGGTGGAAGTCAACCAGGAGATGCTGTGCAGGCGGGATGGGCTCGTGGGGCTAGGGCCCCTCTCGGGCTGTCTGTGCCCACTGACTTTGGCCTGGCCTGGGGTGCAGCACAGAAGAAGCGAAGGGGCTGCTCTGCTCCCGGGGCTGGGGCTCAGGTGCTGGGGGACATTGCCCGGTGGGGTGGGAAGGTGGGGGTCCGGCTCCCACATTTGACCTGGGACAGACGCAGCTCTCCAGCCTTGCAAATCGGCCCATGGATCTGAATCTGAGTCCATTTTCTCCTGCACTTTGGGGCTGTAATTTCCCTGCCAAAATGTTTTAAAAGCTGCACTCACAGACACATTTTCAGAATTACAGGTACAGTGATTTTACCTCCTGCGAGCACAGGAGGGGTGCTGGGGGCAGGGTACACCTGGCAGGTGACACTGCCAGTGCGGTGAGGAGCCCCAGAGGCCGTGGGCTGGTGGTGTCTGCGTGTGGTGACAGCCGTCGGGTTGCAGGGGTGGGTGTCTTCTGCCATGTGGGTGGGGCAGGGTGCCTCGTGGAGCCTTCATGGAGGCTGAGGGTCCCTCCCAACAGGGCTGACTTGGGGACCCTTCCCCTCCACCCCTGCCTGGAGTGGCCACCCCCCCCCCCAACAGGTACCTGCTGCTCTGCATAGCAGTGTCCTCCCTGTGCCCTCTGAGTCCCACAGGGCCAGGGTCGTAATAGTGGCTCGTTTTCCTGCTGACAGAGCTGCCAGCTGTCCTTGGAAGGGAGAGCCGGACAGCGTGGGCATTTTGGGTTTTACGTGGTTATTTTCCTTGTTGTGCTGGCCCCTTCCCTCTGCTGGACATCTGCCACCATAGGCCTGGAGCTCTACCCTGAGGTGTGACCCTCCCAGGTGTGAAGGGCTGGGGTCAGCGTCGTCCAGGGCCACCTGAGACCCTGTGGCACCCAGCCTTCCCATGTGCAGGTATGGGGGGACAGGGACCCCTGCCTGCCCTTCCTCCCTGAGCCTGGGGATTCAGACCCTGGTGGTAGCTGGGCGAGCTCAGTATGGCTCTGCCTGGTGCCACTTATGCACAATAGCGGGGCCCTGAGTGGGCCCAGGGATGGCAGGGCTCTGAGGACCTGGGCCGTCCCCAGCCTGTGTTCAGGATGGCAGTGTGGACTGAGCCAGCACCTGGCCAGGTGCTCCTGCGCTCCCTGATGCCAGAGTGCTGCCGTCCTGAACACAAGGTGCCCCACCTGCTCAGCACCGTGACAGCACTGTCCCTGTGGGTGATCCATGAGTCAGGCCCAGGCCAAGGCTGGTCCTGGTAAGGGGGTCTCTGTAGAGCCAGCAGACCCACGCTAACCTCAGGGCTGCGAGAACAAACCCTCCAATGAGGATGTCACCTGGCACTATGGCACGCTGGACACATGCGCCCCTCTCCTGGGGGACCCTCGTGATGTCCCACCTGTAGCCACACCTGAGTGGGTGCAGCAAAACCTCCTGCCAGCCCCACGAAGCTCTTTTGGGTAGGAGCCTCAGGACCAGGGTCACAGCCAGGGCACACCAGCCAGCTTGGTGCCCAGGTCACAAGAGGGAGGGTCCTGCAAGCCCCAAGCCCAGCCCCGGGGGCCCTGAGCCAGCAGTACTCAGGAGTGCTTTCTGTCTAAATGTCAGGCGTAGGTGCTGGCTCGCAGCAGAAGCACGGGGCAGGAAATGACAGGCAGGGTGGCGTGCTGGCTGCTCAGAGGGGCCGAGACGCCAGGGAAGGCACCCATGGCCAAGCTGCCTTGGGCCGGGGTTGGTCCCCAGTGCTCTGTGGGCTTGTGCCAACCTGGCTGTGCACAGAACATGGGGTGGGCTCCCAGGCGACCAGCAAGCCTGCGACAGCCGCCACGTCCTGCCTCTGGCCAGGCCGTGTCCCGAATGCCGAGGGGCATGGCAGCTGCTCCTCCAGGGTACCTCACCCTGTCCCCATCCCTGTCCCCCACTGGTGCTGCCGTCCAGCTGGGAGGCTGTGGTGTCCTGGGCGTTGGGATCTGGCTGGCTGCCACACAGGGGAACTTTGCCACCCTGTCGTCCTCCTTTCCATCCCTGTCGGCTGCCAACCTGCTCATTGTCAGTGGCACCTGCGTCATGGCCATTGGCTTCGTGGGATGCATCGGGGCCCTCAAGGAGAACAAGTGCCTGCTGCTCACTGTGAGTGCTGAGGGATTTGGGGAGTTGGAGCACTGGTGGGACCCTCACCTAGAGGCAGGGCACTGGGCCTGGGCCGTCCCTGAGCCAGACCCCACCTGCCCGCAGTTCTTTGTGCTGCTGCTGCTGGTGCTCCTGCTGGAGGCCACCATCACCGTGTTCTTCTTTGCCTATACTGACAAGGTACGAGCTGAGCGCATGGGCTTGGTGGGGCCGGGGCAGATGGACAGCAGCTGCTGGGAGCTGGGCCTGGGGGGGGGGGAGTGGCTTAGTGCGGCTCTGTGGCTGCCCTGAGTGGGAGCTGTGTCTGAGAGCAGACTGCGGGGCAGTCCCTGCCAGTGTCCCCCGTCTTTATCTGGCCACCTGTTTCTACCAGGACAGGTCTGTGACACTGCTGCAGGAGCTTCTGCAGACCTTTCCCTACCTGGGGCATGGTGGGGTGCTCCAGGCATCCACAGCCATGCCTGGCCCTGGAGCCAGCTGCTTTGCTGGCTCCCTCCTGGGGAGTCTGCAGGCCCAGACCTCCCTGTAGGGCAGAGGCAGGCCTGTTTGTACTTAGATGGGTGCCATGAATCCACTCGACCCATGACCTGCACCTCAGGTCCCCAAGCCCCAGCCTGTGACGCTGCCCCAGGTCCTGGGTGCTTCTGGGAGTGTGGGAGGCCTGGGCGGCTGGGACTGACTGGGAAGCAGGGAGGGAGGGAGGCAGGCACCTGCCCCGCTGAGCCCTCTGCACCCCTAGATCGATAGTTATGCTCAGGAAGACCTGAAGAAGGGCCTGCACCTGTACGGCACACCAGGCAACGTGGGGCTCACCAACGCCTGGAGCATCATCCAGACTGATGTGAGGCAGGCAGGTGCTTCGGGGCGGGGTAGCAGCTGCCCTGCTTTCTCCCACCTCAGCCAACCCTGCTCTCCCCAGTTCCGCTGCTGTGGCGTCTCCAACTACACTGACTGGTTTGAGGTGTACAACACCACGCGTGTACCTGACTCCTGCTGTCTGGAGTTCAGTGACAGATGCGGGCTGCATGCGCCTGGCACGTGGTGGAAGGCGGTAAGTACAACCCAGAGAGGGGATTTTGTGGGGGCCAGGGTGGCCACTGACCCCACTCTCCTGCAGCCCTGCTATGAGACGGTGAAGGCCTGGCTCCAGGAGAACCTGCTGGCTGTGGGTGTCTTCGGGCTGTGCACGGCACTGGTGCAGGTGTGTGGGGCTGGGCACACACACCCTTGTGACAGGGTGGGGTTAAGCATGGGTCAGAGGAGTGAGTCCTGGACAGAGGTGGCCTCCAGTGTCTCCAGGTGCAGAGCCCCTGTGCCCTCTGGGAGCCCCGGGCTGGCTGCCTGGGGTCTCGGGACTGGGGGGGCAGCCCAGCCTTAGGGCTCCAGGCCGAGCAGGTCTGTCCTGCCACACTCAGGTGGCCACAGCCAGGCTGGCGGTGTGGCAGGCTAGGCAGGGCGGGGACACATGCCTGTGGTGGGTGGGACACCCAGGGGTCCCCTGAAGCAGCTCTGCCCAGCCCTTCCTGTCCCCACAGATTCTGGGCCTGACCTTTGCCATGACCATGTACTGCCAAGTGGTGAAGGCAGACACCTACTGCACCTAGGGCACCGGCCAGCCTGCTTCTCTGCCAAAGGACACTGCCCAGTGGGGACATGGCCACAGTCAAGCCCGTCACTCCCACCCATGACTTGCTGTGCTGCGCTGCGCTGCTGGGCACGAGAGGCGCCGGCACCTTGGCGAGGGTGGCTGTAGAGTTTCGGGACCAGGTGGAGGGTCAGCTGGGGTGGACGGGGAGGCCTCGGACCCCGCTGGTCCTGGTGCTCCGGGGCTGGGCCTCATCGTCACATTCCACGCTGAGCTGTGGCTCCAGGTGCATTTAATAAAGAGCGTGAGCGGCACTGTCGCTGGCTGTGTGCCAGGGCACCCCCTAACTTCGTGCCTGTGTGGTGGGGCCTGGGGCACCTGCTCTGCCTCTCCTCGTGCCCTCTTGAGCACCCCCAGCCCTTTCCTTAGTCTGTGTGGACTTAAACCCGGGGCCATGAGAAGCAGTCCCCTTTTCACAGGCGAGGGTTAACTAAAAAGGCCCACGTGCCTCAAGCCACTTAGGACAGTCCCTGTGACTGGGGGCCGAGTGGAGGGGTGATGGAGTAAGGCTCGGGTCGGGGCGCACTTGGAGAGCCGAGGGGCATCTGGTCTCCAGACTGCACACTGCCTCCATTCCAGTCTCTGGGGGCCCCACCCATGGGCTTGGGACACAGCTCCCCAGGGCGCTGACCTAGGCCCTGGGCACCAGCCTGTATGTGTCCCATGTCCTCAACCCATGAAAACATGGTCAGTGGTCTGGACACAGCTTGAGCGGACCAAGTCACACGGGCGGGAGATCCCTGGGAACAAAACCACTGGAGCCTCTGAGGACGGCCCAGGGACCCTCCCTGCCCGCTCAGCCCCTTCTGACTCCCCTGCCTGACCTCGACTGCCTGGCCCCCAGCCCTGGCACTGGTCAGTCCTGGCGGCTCCTGATTGACAGCACAGGCCCCTCAGACTGACCATGCTGTCTTGACAGCTCTCGGCACCTCTACACCCCTGACTTTGCTGGCTCAGAACCAGAACCTAGGAGCAGCCTCACTACCCCAACCCAAGACCCTGACCAGGACAGTCTCTGACCCATGCCACTCTGGCCACTCGTTCCTCACAGGGCCAGCTGGGAGCCACTTCTGGCACCTGCTATGCACATGTGGGTGCGGGTGGTCCAGGCTCCCTTGAGGCCAGTGTGGGGCTGAGCCCATGTCTAGCCACCACCACACACCATGCCGATGTGACCAGGGAAGGTGGGGCTGTGGTGCTGTCCCCACAATGGTTCCTCCTGTCTGCCCCAGCCCTGCCTCACCCCTTCCCCAAAGCAGCGGAGTCCTCTGTGGACACAGCCTGTCCCCCATGGTGCCCTGAACCACCATCCCAGGGTCCCCTTCCAGTCAGGGCAGGGTGCTGCCAGTGGTAGGCCGACTGGTGGGAAAGTGAGACCAGCTGCCATGCCAAGCTCAGTTGTCCCAGAGTGGGGCCAGCCCCCCAATCCCGGCCCTTAGGACCCCAGCTGCACAACTCAGTTTGGGGGACAGGAGTCATGAGGCAGAGTCCTGACCAGGGTGTCTGCTTGCAGGCAGATCCATCCACTCAGGCCAGAGGGACCAGGGACTGGGTACCAGAGGGGGTGGGGGCCCCCAGGGCCAGCTGGGGTTCTGGGACCCAGGGACAGTGGGGAGTGGATGGTGGACAGCCCTCGGCTGGAGTGGGGTGGGCACAGCCCGATACCTGGTTCTGCCTAATTATGATGCCCATCCCAAGCACGGCCGGGGGGTCCTCCACTGGACACTGAGCAGAGCTGGGCAGGGTCCGGGCCCTGGGGGTGGGGTCAGGGTATGGGGTGGCTCCTGCAGCCCAGGTGCGGAGGAGTCTGGGATTGAGCCCAACCTCTGAACCGGGTGAGGGACCTGGGCCGGGCTGTCCCCTGGCCAGTGGCAGGTGGCAGTGAGGGCCCAGCAGCAGGGCTGGCACTCCCTACATGAGCGTGGATTCCCAGGGCCACAGCAGACATCACAGAACAAAGAATGAGGTCTGTATTTCACATGGCCATTGCACGGCTGCGAATAGTCCACATCCGCTTGGGGGCACAGCCTAGAGCAGGTCGTAGAAGTAGTCCAGGCCCTGGCCCAGCTCCCAGATGGAGACCCCGACGCCCAGCTCCTTGGCCAGTTCCAGCCGCACCTGCAGGGACTTCAGGCACCAACACACATGGGGACCTGCTCAGCCTTCCCTCCCCCCGCCATGCCCTGGGAGCTGCCTGGCCCCTCGTGTCCCCCATGCCCTGGGAACTGGCCAAAGGCCTCTAGTAGCTACAGACTCCTACACAGTGGCCAGGGTCACTATAGGGCAGGGCTGCTGCTTCTGACCCAAACCATATCCCCAGCCCTCCCCTGGCCACCATGCAGGGCACTACCTTCAGAGTTGGGTAGAAGACCAGGTGCCTCCCGCCGCGGCTCCTGCAGTGTAAGAGGGACTGTCCATCTCCTGGTTCCGGTGCTTCCCAGCCCACCCAGGGCTCCCTGCACACACTGGTGGTGGTGCATACCCCACTCACTTCTTGTACTCGAAAAAGTGCTCTGCAGCCTGGCCATCCCACACCATACGGGGCCTGTGGTCCTTCAGCATCTGGATGTACCTGGAGAGGTCAGGGTGTGGGTGGGGGTGCCGGCCACACCCCACAGCCACCCTTACCTGGCCCATGTGGCTGTCACGGAAGGGAGAGCATAGGGGCCACAGGTTGAGGTGCCACTGCCCTGTGCTGGAGGAAGAGGGTGACAATATACCCAGGCCCTGCTGCACCAGGCTCTCCAAGAGTGCCTCAGTAACCGTGGAGACCTCTCACCACTTGCTCTGCAGAACTGACGTGTGCCCCAAACACTGTCCAGAGCCCAGATGGGAGGCCTGGGCTCCCCACCCAGCTAAGGAGACAGCAGGTCGTTCCTGGGCATCAGGAGCCCAGGATTCAGGGACTACACCTGCCCGATCAGAGGATGGGGCCAGGACCGGGACATGAGAAGCTGGAGGAGGACAGAAGGCCATGGCACGCTGGAGGCCAGGGCAGGTGGCCTGTGAGGCTGGGCCTATGGCTCCACAGGTGGATGGTTCTGGCAGCCTCTTGTTTCTCTGCAGCTCCTGCTGGGTCCTGAGGACAGGGCCAGAGGCCACCCTGCTGGACAGCACTTGGGTGACATGGCACAGGCATCTGGGATGGGTGGCACATGGATGTCTCCTTACCCAAGGTGCCCGGCCAGGCAAGGCTACACTCCAAGCTGGGCGGAGGCCACTGTCCTAGGGCAGGGTCGGCTGTTACTGTGGCCAGCAGTGCCCAGATCCTTGAGGCAGGGCAGCGTAGAGGTGGGTGTGAGCTGGGGTGACTGCAGGCCTCCGCCCTCCCAGACCCAGCAGGGCTCGAGGCACAGAGGAGACGGCAGAACAGAGCCCACGGGTCTTCCTCCAGGGGCCTGCTACCCAGGTGGGGGTGGCACTGGGAGGGGTGATGTGGGACTTGCCCCCCAAAGAGTGGCTCCTCTACACCCCTGGCAGCAGCCTGAGAGCCATTTACTCAAGCCAGCTGGGCCCGCCCTGCAACATGCCCCAGGGCACTTTTGCTCTGAGGGGCTCAGGCCTTCTGGTCCTCACTGATCCCTTTGGGAAGCCCCGATCTGCTCCCTAAGGAAGCACAGGCCCAGCCCCAACTGTCAACCAATTGGATCCCCTCAGACCATCAGGATACAGTCCGTTAGAGGGCACTCAGCAGCTTCCCATTCCATGTCCACTATGGCTCCGGAGGAAGCCAGGATGCAAGGCTATGGCAGAGGGGCTGGGTAGCCCCAAGCAGGCCCTGGAACCAGGGTGGAGAAGTGAGGGCCAGGCGCTGGCCGCAGAGAGGCCGGGCACAGCCCGAGGGTGAAGCTATGGGGCTGGGCCCTTGGGAGGATAGGGTGTGGCCACCCAGACCTCCGTCTTTTGCCCTGGGATACGGAGCCCCAAGTGCCTCAGAAGTTAAGGCCTGGGTCTGGGGCTTCCTCTAGGCCCTGGGAGACCTGAGGGGCTCAGCCACCCCCAAGGGCCAGGATCCTGGAGGGACAGCATGGGCCACACAGGCCAGGCCAAACTCAGTTCTGCCTGCTGCCTCTGCCTCCCACCTGGGCCTGGCTGAGGCCAGGCAGTTCCGGTGGGCACTGGGGGCAGCTCGTCCCAGCAGGGCACCAGGGAAGCCCTTCAGAGTGGGCCTGGGCTTGCCTGGTGGCGGGAACCTGGCTGCTGTTGGAGCTGAACTGGGTGTCCACTGCCCAGAGAACACCAGGGCTCCCCCAGGAGTGTCCTGGCCATGCTGAGCAGGTACCACTCTGCAGAGCGCACCCCCAGCTCTACCTCAGGTAGATGGCTGGCCAGGCCGGCCAGGCCCACAGAGTGGTTGGCCTGAGTGACACTGGCTGTGTCTCGGGCCACACAGATGGCAGGCAGCCTGCCCCCACTGCCTTGGAGGGCCGAAGGGCCAGAGCTGGGGGCTGATGGGATGGCAGGCCATTCTAGTGACAATTTCGTTCCAAAAGGGCAGAAACAGCCCTGGGTGCATAAGGGTCCTGTGCCTACATCTGGCGCTCACCTGCGTGGGAGCAGCCAACCGCCAAGGTGCCCACGATGCCTGGCCAGGTGCATGGGGCCACATTCTGCTCAGCCAAGTGTCCCCCAGCCCTGCAGATGGCACAGAATGTGTCTCCTACAAAGGGATTTGGTTCCAAGGCAACAGGCTATGACCATGACCCCAGGTAACCTTCACACCTGGCCTGGAGAAATAGAGTTTTGGGTGAAGCAGGTTGACAGAATCTCAGGAGGAAGGGGCAGGGACAGGCTTGGCAGCACTAAGGCCAGGCTGGGGGCAACATGGGTTGTGAGGGCTTGGTGCCCACCTACTGCTGGAGACAACACCAAGCAAAGCCCCCGGGTGACAGCACACCCTGCAGCCTGCTGTGTCACCAGCTCCAACCGCCTGTGTCCCCCATCATAGGCTGGCAGCAGCTGCACAAGAAGGTGCTGCAGTTGGAACTGGGGCTGGTTAGGACTGGGCTGCCGGGAGGCTGAGGGGCCTAGTGAGATCATGGAGCCCCAGGTGTGGGGACCTTGTGGAACTGCAGCCCCTATGGCCCCTGCCAGGGCTCCTGCTGGGTCAGGGCCTATGCAGACAGCAGCCTACTCACGATCCTCAGGTGGCCCAAGTGCATAGACGGCGGCCTCTCTGGGACCCCCTGGTGCACACGGCAGGGGTGTGAGGCCAGCAGGGCTCTGTGGGCACTGGTTGGGGGAGACTGATTGCAGGGCCACCTCCCCAAGCCGGCCTGGGAACAATGCTCTCCGGCCTGCCACAGCTTCAAGTGCGAATGACCTCTGAACTCCAAGGGTGACCCTGCAGCCCTGTGATGGTGAACCTTTTTGAGCTTTCAACAATACAAACAGCCCTCTGGGCATGTGTGCCACAGGTTCACTGCCTCTGCTACAGCCCCGTGGCAGGCCTGGGTCCTCTGGGGGTCGTGGCAGCAGTGTGCCAGCTGAACCCACCACGCCCTCTCCTCCTCCCTAGCACAGGCCAGGAGCCTGCAGGAGCACAGTGATGGTCCTGGGCTTGTGGGGTGGCTGGGGCAGCTCCCTGTTCTACCACAGGGACCGCAGTGAGTGCCAGGAACCTGGGGCCAAGAGCACACGGTGAGCCCAGGGTTTGGGGAAGACCTGCCACAGGTCACTTCGGTCACCTCAGCTCGACGAGCAGGCTTTGATATGAGGACAGACGAGCCTGCAGGACAGACGGGGACAAAAGACTCCAGCCAGCTTAGGGACCCCACAGGGCACCGCAGATAGGAGACCTGTCCAGCCCTGTCTCTGAAGGCTCATGACCCAGGTGGGCAAGACCACGGGAGCCAGAGGGGAGGGCGTGGGTGGGTGGTCTACAGCAAAGGGCTGGATGTCACCGGGACAGGGGAGTGTCACTGGGCCCCGAGGACACACACACAGTCTCAACCCTCACAGGGGAGCCCGCAGAGTGGGTATCACACTGCCGCCCCAACCCCAGGAAGGCCAGGCTGAGCAGGAGCCACCACCTGTCCAGGTCTGTCCAGTGCCCACACCACTCCCCCGTGCCACACAGGCCCAGGGGCCCAGGTGAGGGGTGCTTTAGGCAGGGAGGAAGCTTGGCAGGAGGGGCAGCACCACCTCTCCCTGCAGGGGAAACCCAGAATCCCAGCCCCGCCAAGGCCAGGAGGCCTGAGGGCAGTGTCTACGTGGCTGTGTGCACAGATTTGTGCTGGCTCCACACTGACACATGGACCCCCATAATCAGAATTCCTGAGCCCAGCCCCCAGGCCCTTGCAGAACAATTAAGGATGGTGCTTTGGCCATCTGGAGGCCGCTGCTGCTTGTGAGATCTGACTGGGCTGGGTGCCTGTGTTTCTGGCCGAGGTAGGGGTGGTGGCAGTGGCAACAAGTCCTCCAGTTTCTGCTGCCACCTCACTGTACCATCTCATCAGCCCTAGTGTGTCCCCAAACTTGTATGTGGGAGGCCTAATCCCCAGTACCTTGGGATGTCTGTAGTTGGCAAATCAATCTCTACAGAGGTGACCAAGTTAAAATGAGGCATTAGGGAAGGCCCTGCCAGAGACTGCCCTCCTAAGCCAGGCTGTGGTGCCAAGGGAAGAGCATGGGCTCAGCACAGCAATGCCCTAGGTTTGAACTCTAGTACCAAAAACGCAAAGAAGTGAAGGAGACGGAAACACACCCGGAAGACCTCATGAGGACGCAGAAGACATCTGCAAGCCAAGGAGAGAGCTCCGGAGGGACCAGCCTTGCAACAGCTCAGCCTCAGACTCCAGACTCAGACCTAGTGGCAGCGGGGTGGAGAAGCATGGCAGCCCCAGGCCAGCACCTCAGCTCCCTCTCGGAGCCTGGCCGGGGTGGCAAACCTCCCTCTGCAGCCAGGGAACGCTCCTCTGGCTCCCACTGGCCAGGCTTCCTGGGGTGCTGGGGTCTGTGTGATACTGTAGATAGGTAAGTGAAAGAGCCCTGAGCCGCCCCTCACTGAAAATCCTTGCTCGTTCCCTGTACGCTTGCAAGGTGACCTGCTTCCCCACTGGATCCCCATCTAATCAGCATCACCTAAGCAACTATACTTGTCAGAATCTTAGTGGTTGACCATAGTTTTGCCCACCTTGTGGTCTCTCACTGGATCAGTATTACCTAAGCAACTGTACTTGCAATCTTACTAGTTGACTATAGTTTTCTTTTTGTACTGGGGATCGAACTCAGGACCTTGCGCTTGTGAGGTAGGCTCGGTGCCACTGGGCTAAATCCTGGGCCCAGCTGACTATAGTTTTGCCCCACCTTGAACCCGCCTCACCTCATGGCTTTGTCCCATAAAATACCTTTGAGGGGTCAGGGATTTAGCTCAGTGGTTCCACCACCTGCCTCACAAGGGCCAGGTCCCGAGTTTGATCTCCAGTACCAAAAAAAAAAGCCTTTGAGAAGCAGGGTCGGCAGGTAACCCACTTTCCGGTCCCCCTTCTGTCTCTCTTAGACAGAAGCTGTCTTTCTCTCAATAAATCTTTCCTACTCTTAACCCCCATTGTTCCTAGCATTCATTCTTCAATTTTAAAGAACATGAACTCGAGCTTCGGGTATCTTGCAGGTTTGGGAGTTAACCTCTTCCCCTGTATCATGGGAAGCTCCAGTGCTGCATGCTGCCCCACCCAGTGCTCTGGAGCCAGGCACCATACCCTGAGTGACGGAGGGTTACAAGGGATGCCAGCAAGGCTTCCAGAGCCTCCCCAAGAGTCCCAGTGTCAGAGGATGGCTGTACCCACAGCACAGGGCAGCGGTGGCTAGAACAGACGGACAGGGGCTGGGAGGCCAGGTTCCGAGCACCCCATGCCTGCAGTAGGGACACAGCAGTTATTACCCCAGCAAGGACCCATGTCCCCTCCCAACATCAGCTTGCCAAGGGGCCTTCATGGTGCCCCAAATCTCCAAGCTCAGCCCACAGGCTCACCCAAGGCTGGGCTCTCACCCTCCAAAGCTCCAGGCCACCATACTACCCACCCTGTCTACCCTTCTGAGCCAGGCCCTGCCTCACCCTGTCTGCACAGCTGAGCCCAGAGCCAGAATCCACTAGGTGGTCAGCCCAGGCCTCTGTAGGAGCCCAGACCCCAGACCCAGCCATGTGGACACAGAGGGGAATGGGACCACCACTCCCCACCGTGGCTAGGAGCACAGCCTATCCTGACATCCCCAAGAGAGTGACCAACAGAGGGTGGCCTAGTGAGGGGTGGCCCTGATGACCATCCTCAGAGTGGGAAGAACCGGGCTCAGTGGAGAGAAGCTCCCTAACTCCCTTGCTGACTGCCACCCCTACAGAACCACAGGTCCAGCCAAGGGCCACTGGGTCAGCTCTGACCCCCGCCCCAGCACACTGCCATTCAGCACAAAGCAGACAGCCTGCTCACCTGCCCCAGGGAACCTGCAGAGAATCCCAGAGCAGGGCCAACCCATATCGCTCTCTGGACCCCACCCTCTGGGAAAGGACCACAGGGAAGTTGGAAGGTCTCGAGCTTCCAGGTGACTTTCCTGAGCTCAGAACAAAGACGGAAGGCTTGCTAGGATGTAACACACCCAGTGTCCCCAGGGTGAAGCCCATGAGAAGTGTGGCATGGAATCTTGGAACACCAGGCTTGAAGGGGTGCAGCATAGGCCACAGCCGCCCATGGGACTGCCCAGAGTGGACTCAGACTCAGGATGAACAGATGCGGATAGCAAGCTGTGGAATCCCACAAGTTCAAGGGTTCAGCAGAGACAAGGAAGATGTAAAACTAAACCTGAAACCAATCTCGAGACACAGACCTGCTACTTGTGAGATGAAAGAGCACTGGTTGGATAGTGGCAAAGCGGACCAGGCAAAAGAAATAGTGAACAGCAACCACAGCCAAACAGAAAACCTGAAAGTGTTCCGGGAGCTGCAGCAGCAGGAGGGTGGATGGAGAGAGCTGTGGAGCCTACCCACAGCCTTCCTCTCTGATAAAAACTGAACGGGGCATCCAAGCTCAGGGCATGATAGAACCGGACTCTGCGACCACTCCTGAGCTCAGCAGTGGCGGGGCAACAGGCAGCAGATGCACACAGGGAACAAGCAGAAACCGTGGCCTCTGCTGCAGCAGAACACAGCCAGGTGCAGTCACAGGAGCAGAGCCGCATGGCGAGGTATGGTGCAGGAGACCCTTGAGAGTATACAACCCAAGGCCGGAGCAGGTCCTAGCCAGGCACAGCTGCAGGAGGCTGGCACTTGAAGGAAAGGTCAGCTGGCCACACCCGAGCCCAGCAGCTGCACGTGTCCAGCTCTCAGCATCCTCCTAGGGCCCATGCTGCACCCCTGCTTGGGGACAGCATCAGTTGCAGCCCTAGGCTATTGTGCCAGTAATGTGGGGGATGTGGGCACCCCCAGCTGGGGCCGAGGTGGGGTGGCACAGACACAGGACCAAGGCTGCCCACCCAGGCCACACATCTCCACCCCCAAGCCCAGGAGCCCGGAGCCCTGGCCTCCCCAGCCCAGCACTTCACCCCTTTCTGGGGGAGTGCCACTGAAGCACTGCAGGAGGGCCCTGGGCGCACCTGGCTCCGATGACAGGCTCACGGGCATCCTTGGAGGCTGCATAGTCCATGCCGTAGAAGTTCAGCCCCAGGAGAATCTTGCTCCGCCACCTGGACTTGGGGTCCAGGACCTGGACACAGGCTTGAACCCATGACAGCGGTGCATTGGGGCCAGGCCTGCAGGGACAACAGGGCAATGGGTTTCAGCAGCAGGCAGCTCAGTTTCATGGGCGGCCACCAGGGGTGCATTCCTCTTGTGCTGTGGGTGAAACCTCTCATGACTTGGAAGAACTGGGAGTGAATGACCTTCCCTAGGGGCCATCAACAAAGCAGCACAGGTACCACCTGCATTGCGTGCAGCCTCCCCACCTCAGACTGGCAGGCAGGCGTCTGAGACACAGGTGGGGAGGGGTCAGGAGACACATGGCCTTCTGGCCTTCTGTCCTTCCTGCCGGATGCCTGCTGCATCTGCTTCCCAAGCTCCTTGGGAGCAGGGTGGCTCAGGCCTGACGAGGTGGCAGCGAGCCTATGTGTGGACTCCGGCAATGCAGTGCTAACCAAGACTGGGGCCCACAGGACCCCCCTTTCCTGGGCACAGGCTAGGCAGGTGGCCACCAGCTTCCACCAGGGGCACCTGGGCCAGAGGAGGTGACACTGTGCATGGATCCACAGAGCCCCGGGCAGGGCTGTTTGCCCAGACGCCAGGGTGCGGACCCCTTTTCCCAAGGCACTCACTGCTGCGACGTGGAGTAGTCGTAAGTCATGAGGCTGAAGCCGTCCAGCACTGGGGCCAGCTGCTCAAACTCCTTGTGCGTGAACATGCCCAGCTGGTCGGTCCTGTGACAAGGTGAGGTGTGGCTGGGGTCAGGACACACTGTCTAGCGCCCCTGGGGGTCCTGGGTCCCTGTGCCTTGGAGACAGGGACTGCCTGCTGCTTGGCTGGGGCCGTCCTCCAGGAGCCAGGGTGGGGGCTGAGGCCAAGCAGAAGTGTCCTGCTCTCCCTGCCCCTGAAAGGCTCTGGGGGGCAGGGGGCGGGTGCTCACAGTGTACCCAACTCAGCCAAGCTCCAGGACGGGTGGGCTCCTTCGGAGGCCCCTGCTTGTCCACAGACACCGAGGAGCATAGCACCCCACCTAGGCCTCTGTCCTACAACGTCTCCCCCAATTCGGTGGGTGCCCCACCCCCCACTTCCCCTCCGGCACGGTGAGAGGGGACAGAAGCCCTCCCTCAGTGGGGAGACCAGCCCCACAGAAGGGGGACCAGAGTCCGACTCATAGGGAGGGAGACAGCTCCAGGGGACCAGGGGAACAGGGAGGCTGCGGACGGCCAGGGCCATGCCAGCTGCACAGAACAAGGGGAGGGGAGGGAGGCTGGCCTGACGCTCGCCTCCCACAAGTGCTGCCCACTGTGCCCACGCAGGTGCGGACGCCGCTGCCATGGGTGACTATTCCTCGACACACTCTGCAGTGATGGCCAAGGGGTGGGGACTGCGTCTAGCAGGCCCCTTGTCCCCTTCACTGCCCCAAAGGCCATGGTTCAGGGTGAGCACAGGGAGGCCAAGCCTCCTCAGGGCACCACCTGCCTCGCTGGGCACTGTGGCTTAGACACAAAGCAGACTGCAGCGAGGACGGGGTGAAGGCAGGTCCCTGAAATCCCGACTGCCATTTCCCCTTCTCAGCTCGAAGCAGCCACGTTCAGTTTTCACCCTTCTCCCCTAACAGCAGGTAGGCATATTTCTTCAAGGGAAGGAAATGTAAAACAGTTTCTTTAGTCAGGTTATGAGTGAGGCACCTATGGGAAAGGCTTGAGAGAGCTGAGTGACCAGCTACGCTGATGGATCTGAAATAAGAACACAGTGAATGAGGACTTCAGACCCAGGATGAACTTTCTCAGGCAACATGGGATGTAGCTACTCCCTACTGAGCATCTGAGTTCTGAGGAACTTTACTATGTAGTTCAGGCTGGTCTCCAACTCACAGTGATCCTCCTGCCTCAGCCTCCGGAGTGCTGGGATCACAGGTGTATCCCACCACACCTGGAAGTTCTGAGGAACTTAAAATGCAAAACCACCAGGTTTTTTTGGTAAAATCTGTTTCCTTTAAACCCACACATTGAAGAACTGGGTTAGAGAGCCGGTCAATAAAAATTGGGTCATTTTGAATGGCAGGTGGCTACTAAACAACTGAGCGATCCCTGTGCTCTGCGTCTATAATTTCAGTAGCTCTGGATGGAGCAGCCATGCGGCCATCCCCTTGGGATCCCTCCTGGAAATCCAGGAGCTATTCTTATTTCCAGGGAAAGCTCTCCTAACCACCTCCTGTGCTTAGAGATTTCATTCCGCCACTGCAACCAGGAGCTCTGTACGCAGAACACACATGGTAACAGCCTCTGAGGCCACACCCTGGTGGAGCATAGTGTACAAAGGAGGAATGGCTCTGGGGACACAGCCCGTGTGCAGGGCAAGGTCTACGCCAGGCGCTGTGCAGAGGCCTATAACCACCAAAGGGACCAAGACTCACGGCAGAAGTGTCCTCCAGGAATGCAGGGCCCCTGGGCCACCAGCACCAAGCCCACCATGGATCTGCCTGGCTGGGCAAGGCACCGAGGCCTTTCTCGAACCTCAGTGGGGGAACGAGAAGGACAAGATGGGGCTGGGCCCTGCAGAGGTCCCAGCTGCACCCAGGAGCAGGCACCAGGGCAGGGCATCCTGGTGGGGCACACTTGCTGGGGGGCCCAGGTGTCGATGGAGTCGGACCCCCTCCTCCGCCTGAAGCCCCACTCCATCTACCCAGACCCTCCCGTGCACAGCTCCTTCCTGCCCCAGACCCAGCAGGCACAGGGGACGGGCCTACTGCAGGCTGGCTACAAAAGGGACAGAAGGGATGGCATGTGGACACGGGACAACGTGTGGGTCCCAGGGATGCAGCATTCCGGAGGCCAGGCAGGTGCTTGCTGTGCCCTGCCTCAGGCTCCCCACAAGGCAGCACAGATAGCATCAGACGGAGACGGGGCTACAGGTGCCACAGGGGAGGCAGGGTGCCTGTGAGTCCGAGCAAGTAGGGACAAGGAGGGGTGGGACAGAGACCTCAGCTTTCTCTGAAGAACAGGACGTATGCTGTCACGTGCTAGTGCTGGGGTGGGCAAGGATGGATGCCTCCCAGTGTTCTTCCTGTCTGCCGCCCTTCGCTGGGGTCCTGGGCCCCTCCCAGAGGTCTCCTCAGGCCCTTAGTGAGCGCCTGTGGCCCACCAGGGGCCAGCAGATGTACAGCTGACCGGCTGCCTTGGCCAGGCTCTTGGCAGTTTCTTCCCGCTGCCCTGCCAACCCTGGGAGCCCCTCTCTGGTGGGCACCCTGCTCTCTGGGTCCCCATGTCCATGTCTTGGGTGGGGGCAGCCCTAGCAGACTGTGGGAACCCGGAGGCTCAGTGGGGTGCAGCAGGGGGCTCAGGGGAGAGAGGCTGCGCTCTTCAGAGCCCTGTGCAGGGATGTCAGCGGCACCAAGGGCAGCCATCCGGCAATGCTGGGAAAGGACACCAAACCCCAGGCACTGACCAAAGCCAAGCAGGCCCCTGGCAATGGGAAGACAGGCCTCAGTGCCTCTTACCCTAGCTGGCTGCACCAGAGTGGCCCTCCTCTGGGGCAGACTCAGACCCTGCTCACAGTGAGGTCTGGGCCCGGGGTCCTGACCCTGCACCCACCTTGCACAGGTGCAGGCCAGGCTGGCTGTGTCAGGGCTTTCTGTCCCCAGGGGAAGCTGGCTCTCATAGGCACGCACTGGGGCTGTGGCTCGAGCTCTCAAGGTTTGACCTTGTCTGTGCCCACCCAGCCTTCCTGGGCACCCAGGTCTGGGTCCCGTGACCCATGCTGCACCACATACAGCCCCCTGCCATGTCCATGCACTATCACCCCCAGCTCCCATGGCTGTACAGCATGGCCCTGCCACGCTGCCTGTGCCTTGTGGCCTCTGGCAGGCTGGCCCCACGCCTTGAGGCTCCCAACAGCCACCACACAATGTCCCCACCAACCAGGAAGGGATGGTCATGCTGGCAGATGTGGCTCTACATGTCTGTGGAGCGTGCACCACTCGGCACAGTGGCTGACACAGAAGCACATGGCATGGCCTGGACTCATTCTCACAGGCCACTCACAGCCACTGCCTGACTGATCCAAGGCTGGGGTACCAGGGCAGCCTGTGGCCAGCTCTGTCAGGGCCAGGAGCAGCCCCTAGTGTGGTGGCCATCAGTGGAGGGAGGGCACCCCCCCTCAGCCTGTGCTCAGGCCCTCTTCCCATCCTGGCTCTGTTCCTGGGCCCTCCATCTGGGCGACACAGAGGCTTCCACGGGCCTCCATCCTGACGTCCCTCCCCATCATCCCTGGCCCACATGACATGGACAGCCCTCTGTCTGTGACCCACGGCAGACTCTGCAGCATCCAGAGACACGAGAACAGCTCATCAGCAGATCAGACACAGCATGGTTTCCAATAAATGAAAACTACTGCTGATGCCGAAAACCTCATGTTCCAAAATCATTTCCGAGGAAAAGAAACCAAGGGAGGAGGGAAGAAAAGAAGCAGGCCCATCTCAGTCCGTGCCTGGTCTTGGGGGGCTCCAGGTGGTCACAGCAATGAATGTGCATGCTCACTGACTCTCAGTGCCAAGCACCCAGCCCAGGGGGCCGCACGCTCCCCACACTGGCCTGTGCCCACTTGTGCCAAGATGGAGGCTCTGTGCCCTGGCGCCTGAGTGGACAACCTGGCCTTGGCTGCTGCCCACAGCTCTGGCCACCCCAAGTCCCAGACTCCAGAAACCTGGTAGACACCGGGAGGGCTCATCCAGGCAGCAGGGGTCTGGCAACCCCTCTCCTGGGCTCCTCTGAGACCCCAAGCGCTAGCCCTCTGGATCCTCCACTCTTTAGCCTGCAAGACAGAAGGGAAACTGCCTGGTGGAGAGACCAGGCCTCTCCGCCACTGTCCAGGCTGTGGTTCTGTGCTGCTAGGGTCACACACTAGGCATGGCTGCAGGCTTGTGCCCAGGCCCTCCCCAGTGCTCACCGCAGCTTCTCCCCAACACTCCCACGATCCTGCAGTCGCCGCTGCACCTTCCTGGCCTGTCTCCCTACCACACCCCCGGCGGGAGCCACTTCCACCCAAGTCTGGCCTCCTCCAGGCCAGCACCACAGGGACAACACAGGCTCAGTCATGGTCACCAATACCTCCAGCCAGACTGTCTGGCTCTGTTGGTCTGTGGATGCGGTGGCCCCATGGAATGCCAGCCCTGAGTCCACCCCTGTGGTACCTGCCCTGGCTGGCTCTGGGCATCTGGAGGGCATCCCAATGACAGCGCATCAGAGGTTTCTGAACCTGAACTTTCTGAGCCAAGCCCAGGCCCATCTTGCTTGGCCCCACCAGCCTCCTGTAACACCCCCGTGAGGGCCATGGATGTGGTGGCCACAAGGGGTCTCAAAGTTACCAAGAGTCTCCTACCCTGTCGCTGTGGGTTCCTGCACTGGATGGGACCTCAGCCTGGCGCTTGGCCCATCCATGCTGCAGCAGTGCCCACATTCCCACAGGGGCTAAACACACACAGCTCGTGGCCTGCCCTGCCAGCCTGCTAAGCTTTTGTGCAGAACGGCTGGGGATCTAGTGAAGGACTCCCATCCCTCCATATTACCTTCCCTTGATCACTGGGCTGGATGTGGCACACAGGCGGCAGCCCCCGCTGTGAGATGAGTGCACCCAGGATGAACCTCCTCCATCACAGGATGCTCTCATCCTACCATGGGAGGGCTCCCAACCAGGTGTGCCTGCTGGGGTACACATACCAGCCATGCTTGGGAAGGACACCAGCCCCTGGGCCGGAGGGGACTGGAGCCTGACACAAGCACCCTGGGGACAGCTGGACTGCCTGCCCCTGTAGGCCTGGAGATCTAATTAAACCAGTTCCTGGAGGCTGCCCCCCCATCCACTGCCAGGGGCAGCAAGAAGGCCTTGGGAGCGGGACTCAAGGTCAGCACACCAAGTGCTGCAGCAGAGCAGCATGGGGCCAAGCCCTCTTCCCAGGGGCTCTGAGTGCTGCCTGGCTGGGTGACAAAGGACAGACTGGATTTGCATCTGGTGGCTGGAAGCTGCCCCTCCCCCCCACAGAGATGTGTCTGGCTCAGTCTCTGCTGTAAATGAGGAGCACAATTTGCCCAGTACAGGGAGGTACTAGAGGAAGGCGCAGGATGGGGGGCTGCCTGGGCTCTGTGCTGAAGGGCAGGGAGACAGACAGGATGGTAAAACAGACTCCCTGGGGGCAGGCCTCCGCCTGGCCTTGCAGCTGAGAGCGGAGCCCCAGCAGGCACGAGCCAGGACCTGGGCCCAGCTTGTTCCCCAGCCTCAGCCCCCAGGTACCCTCAATGGGCCTTGCACTGTCACTGCAGGTGAGGGAGGAGGCAGCCTCCGCTCCCCATGTGCACTTCCTGCCTGGTCTGGGGGCTAGGGTGACAATGCCTGGGTGGAGGCAGAGCCCCTGGAAAGACTCTGCCACCCACAGCTGGGTGGGCCCAGAGGGCACCCTGAACTGCGCTGGACTCCAAGAGTCCCTGCTAAGAGCTGCTCCTGCATCCTCCCACAGGTGATCCTTGAGCCACCAAGCACAACATGGCCTCTGCTGCTGTGCCACACTAGCCATAGTCCAGACACCAGGACCCAGCACGAGCACCAGCGGAGGCGGTGCAGCCTGTGGCCTAGCCTCTCCTTCCATCTGGGCCTGCATGGCTGCCACCAGCACAGGAAGAAGTGCCCCCTAGCTTTACCCTTGCCACCCCGGGGAGGCAAACCCTGGGAGCACAGGCCAGGTGCTTTGAGGACTTCACGTCAGAGAAGGAAAGGACGCAGCACCCCAAGCCCTGGATGTGGGCCCCTCTCCTTGGCAAAGGTAGGGCTGCCAGGCTAAAGGAGCAGACCCGGCCTGGGAAGCACCGAGGCAGAGCTGGCCACCTTCCATCTAGCACTTGGCAGACCAACTCAGAGTAGAGGCAGGGCAGGGTCAGGCTGAGGCTGAGGGGCTGCTGAGGCTCGGTTGAGACAAGGCCTTCCAGGGCTTAGCAGCAGGCACAGGAGCTACGACTGCACAATGCTGACCAAGAACCAAGGCCAGATGGAGCACAGAGCCCCACTGCCCTGCACACTTGGCGCCACAACCACAAACGTGTTCCACATGGGAACATGTGGCCTCCAGGCCCATCTCTGGGGCAGGGTCAGCTGGAGCCACTACCCCAACCACTGCCCCCAGGTGCAGCCAAGGGGAAGCCAAGGGGCAGCCAAGGGCAAGGAAGCATGGGGAGAAAAGTCACACAAGGCTCGAAGCACCCTGGAGGCCAATGTGGGGCCTGCTCCAAAGTGGCCTGACCACGGCCTGTGGTGGGAGCTGGCTGGTGCCACAGGTGGGGCGTGGAGTGGGCAGGCAGCAGCCAGCATCTACTTTGGATGCCTGGGCACAGTGCAGGCTCTACGGGAGCTCAGACCTCCGGGCTGTGTGATTCAGGGCGGCTACCACCACTAGGCCCCGAGGGCCAGTCCAACCCCTTCCGCCATGGAGCTGCAGGCTACAGAGGGGTGGAGACATCTGGCTGCCTCCTTCCAGAGCCACCTGAGGGCTGAGGCTGGCTGGGCAGGGCTGCTCCTGGGAAGCCGGTGGGCCGAGTGCAGAGCCAGGACCCCCACTGCAGAGTCGGAGCCTACATAGTCCCACCTGGCCACTGCTGCCCTCTCAGCCCAGGTCTGTCCTCACACTGTGAGCCGCAGGTTCACCGTCCTAGCTCCTGCAGGCATGCCCACATCACTCAGCCAGAAGTTCCAGAAGAGCCGCCTCAAAGAGCTGGGAAGGGCAGTCAGCACGTGGCACACAGGGCCGGCACAGCCAGCAGTCCCACAGCCCTGCCCCGCTTGGCTTAATCCAGGGCCTAAAGCACCGAGTATCTGGGAGCGAGCGCCTGAGAGTGAGGGAAGTGAGTCTAGGACCCCATTCTCCAAGTGAGACACTCCTCAATGGCCTCCCAGTCCATCTGGGCTGCAGGACATGGCCTTCCTCTGTTGACAAGTGACAGGAAGGGGAGCCAGAGCCAGCTAAGTGCCCCCACCGCCCCGCAAGGCAGTGACCGGTGTCCACACAGACGGTGGGTCAACTGTGCACTGAGAGGGCCTGGCCCTTGCCAGAACCCTGTGATGGCTGCCCCAACCCCTGGACAGGAAGGCACTCACCCTGGGGTGACAGAGGGAGGGATGACTAGAATGGCCAGCAGCCGAGCCTGGTGCAGCGCTTCTGCCACATGAGTGAGCATGTGGATGAGGCCCCTGCAAGAACAAAGAGGTGGGGTCAGCCCAGGGAACCAGGGCTCTGAGAGCCCTCTGCCCAGGGACAGGGTGGGTCAGGCTTTGGGGCTTCCTCATACCAGTGTCACGGAGCAGGACAGGTGGCCCAGACCGAGCCCCCTGACAGGGCAGTCAGACCCTTCGTGGAGTATTCCCACCCTACTGGACACATGGCCCTCAGGATGGAGACCAGTGTGGGCCTGTGAAGAGAGCCGGAAGAGGTGGCCTTTCTCTTCCTGGGCCTAGCACAAAACCTTTCCCCTACCCAGGGGTCTCCAGAGCAGATGTCCCTGTAGCACCCAAGTGTGCTCAGAGAAAGGAGCCCAAATGACCAGACAGCCAAGGTCCACATTATGCTCCAGATCCCAAGGTAGGCCCAGCACACTGACCTGAGGGTGGCCTGGTCAGCCTCAGGCTTTGAAATGCCATGGGACACTCTGAGGGCCACCCCAGGGGGGACTTCAGGAGAACGGAGGGGCCTGGCCCCTGAGCTAGGTACCAGGTGCACAGGGGCCAGCAGGTGGGGGGGCCAGGGAGGGAGGGACCCCAGGAAGGCCTCCCGATGACCCCAAGCCTGGGGCCTTTATGCTACCTGCAAGTATCCCCAGGACACACCAGACTCAAGTGCCAAAAGGGGCCCAGAGTCTGGCAGCTGCCATCAACAGTTAGACCTCAGGGCACAGCCTGGAGCTGACCTTTGGTAAGGACAGGTGTGCCCAGCCCCAGCCACTCTGGGCACATAGGCCACCAGGGGACGCTCTAGTGGGACCAGCAGTGGCAATGTCCCTTCAAGGGCTTTACCAACAGACCCTCTGGACAAGCTGACTTGGCCTGTGCCCAGCAGGCAGCTGTGTGACAAGAACACACTGAGCCCACCTGGGCCCGGCATGCTGGGAGAGTCCAAGTGGGGGCTGGCAGGACAGACAGGCCTGGCCTTTCCCAGGGCCAGGCTGTGGGGTAGCTATGGGGCTGATACCCCAGGGCCTGCAGCCTCTTGCCAAAGCCCATGCTACCCGTCACCCTCACTGTCCTGGCCAGCTGCTATTGTCACCCTGCTTGGTTTGGGCAGGGACACCCCTAGAACCATTGCTATTTGCTGGGAGGAAACCCAGGGCCAGCACTGTGAATGGAGTTAGGTCTCCACCCAGGACCAGCTGAGGCCACAGGCTGCTGCCCACAGCACCCCTTGGAGCTCAAACTGCTGGGTCCTCACAGGAAGAAGGTGTTCATCCCCTTCCCCAGGGTACTTTGACAGGAGGCCTGGGGAACTCAGGGGTCCAGGTAAGGACCTGAGACCAGCAGGCCCCCAGGCTGCCCACACACCCCTTCCTGTGGTGCCCGCTGGCCACTACACAGGGACAGCTGCCCTGGCCAGATGGCGCTCTGAAGCAAAGTTGGCAGAGCTGGGGAGAGAGCTCCTGGACACCTTGCCACGCCTGGGAGAGGAGCTAATGGGCTGGTTCCCCAAGCCCATGTGTCATGGCCAACATCATGTGGCTTCCTGAGCCTGCCAACCATGGCCCTTGGCAGGCCAACCTGGCACTTCAGATCCAGGCTCGATGCCTGCAAGGTGACAGGTGGAGCAGGAAGCAGAGACCAGAGCAGCAACCTCCTTAAAGATTCCCACTGTGTCTCACTGTGGCTAGGCTCATTTTGGGAGACAGGTGCCAGGCACAGAATGCCCAAGGGACACCAGGTCAGCGGCCCTGCAACCGCCCTCCCTCCCAACATGAGGGGCTGGGTGGCTCCTCCTCCTGCCACCCCCCACTGCAGCCTTGCCCAGGTCCAGGGCCTCCTGCTCTGATATTAATGATCCATCAGAGACAGACACAATGAGGCTGTGTCTCACTGCCCACTTAATGCACTGAAACAGACACGAGTTACGGCAAAGCTCAGTTAATAGAGCTGTTGTCCCGGGAGGAGGGAAGGATGACAGCTGCCAGTGCCTCCTGAGAGGGGCCAGAAGGGCAGCTGAGGAGGCCACAGTGCCTGGAGAGGCCTCTGGCGGGGCCCAAGACCCAGGGACATCCTCACCTACTGTGGCATGCTCCCGCCCTCCCCACCCATCTCCCTCTACCCCAGCCCCCCAAGGGCACAGAGGGCCCCACTGGGCTCAGGTCTGCAGAGGGAATCCTGACACATCCTTCAACCCCGTCCCGTCCTGGGGCTCCACCTCCACGGGAGCCTTACACAGCACTGTAGATCTGTGCGGGGCTGCTGCCTCCTGGAGGGCACAGCTGAGACCTGCAGTTCTATCTGCAGCAGTGACAGTGCAGGTGATGAAGACAGGAAACCAAGGGTCCCTCTGGGCAGCAGGGTGGGACAGTGCTTCCCAGCTGAGCTAGGCCTTAGACACCTAGAAGTCCCTCAGGCAGGAAAAGAAAGAGAGGACAGCCGACCGAAGAACCTGTGCTTCTCTGGAGGTTGCTGGACTGGACAGCGGGCTGCAGGCCTCTGCACACCAGCTACCACCATGGGCTGCACCAGCCTCTCCCAAGGCCATCAAGGCGGCACCAGCCCTGGCCAGGGCAGAGCCTTCCCTCTGGCATCTTGACAAACAGGCAAGGGGCCTGCTTCAGGCTTACTGGCTGGGCTGCCAGGGAGAGGCCATTGCTCAGGGCTCTGGCCAGCCCCAAGCTGTCCTGGACCTGCAGGAGCTTCGGGCACCTTGTATGACTCCATTCCTCCCATCACCTGGCCAGGGTGTGGGGACCCGTCTCCCACTGAAGCAGCAAGGCAGCACGAGGATGCAGGAGGACGGCTTCTTTCCAGGGACTGCTAAAGCACCTGGGGCCTGGACAGCCCCTTCCCAGAGAACGCTGTGGGTGTCACACCTCAGGTCCTCACCTCACCCGGCTGGTCTCTTCTTTCAGTTTAAACCCAATGCCTTTGCACTGAGCTACATCCCCAGGTCCTACCCCTTTTAAAATTTTTATTTATTTATTTATTTTTGGTACCGGGGATCGAACTCGGGACCTTGCACTTGTGAGGTAGGCACCAGAACCACTGAGCTAAATCCCCGGCCCTAAATTTTTTAGTCTTACCAAGCTGCCCAGGCTGGGCTCAAAGTTGTGACCCTCCCGCCTCAGCCTCCCAGAGTGCTGGGATTATGGGTGTGCACCACTATGCCTGGTGGCTGAACTTTTCAGGCTCTTGTGCACTCAGTGAGGATTTCTGCTTGTGTCCATGCTGGCCCTCAGTCACATCATCCTGATCACCCTTATCGTGCTGAATCCTTGTGGGTCAAGATCCTCCGTTCCTTTACCACCCACCGGGCCTTGAGGCTGGCACAGTGATGTGGCCATTCCTGGCCCCTCTGAGTAGGCCTTCAGCTCTGCAGAGTTCCATTCCCACCCCACACAGAGCTCACAGGAGGAGGCCCTCGCAGACCGCCCCTCTCCCTCTGCAACTGCTAGTCGTGACCGAGAAACAAATTCCAGGCAGATGAGTGAAGCACAGTTCTGGGTGTGTCTGTGGGGGTTTCCAGAGATGACTGGCATGCAGGCCAGCAAACTGAAGGGGAAGACCCACCCCAGTTGTGGGTGGCACCAACCAACAGGCTTGTATCCTGGCCAGAATAAGTAAAGGGAAAGAAGAGGAAGCTGGTACACTTCTGACAGGAGCTCCATCCTGCTTGAGCCCGTGTGTCTTTTGCTGCCATCCACTTTGCACTTCAGTCTCCGGTTTCTTCAGCCTCTGTCGGAGACTCACTGGAGCAGCTCTCCCGGGAGTGTGCAGGCCTCCGACCTTGGACTGGCACTGTGTCCTTGATCCCTCTTGTTCTGCGGCTTCCATCTTGGGCTGAGCAGCTCCCGGACCTTTGGCTTTCCAGGGCGCTGATGGCCATGCGAACCTCCTGCCTCTGACCCTCCGTGCTCCCTGATAAATCTCCTTGCATAATGATATACTTTTTTTTATTGATTCTGCTCGTCCAGACAACCCTGACTGATACACCTGTGCTTCCTCCTCTGGCCCCTGCCATCTATGGATCCAGGAAGGACCCCGTGCAGCCACCTGCCACCCCACTCACACGTGCTTCTGTCTCAGCAGCTGGCTCCACACCTCCACCACGAAGCCATCAAAGTGCTGGTTCTGAAAGAAATGGCAGCAGGTGAGAAGCAACAGGGACCCAGGAGGGACAGGAAGAAAGACACACACTGAGCTACTGCCCTGCCTACCTGGCAAGGTCACAACCCAGTCACTCACAGGCAAGACCCAAGCCTGTGCTGCCCAAAACCCCCCTGGAGGGGCAGTGTGGGGCATCTCCACGTGAGCCAGGAGCAGCGGGGCTGCACCCCTGCATTCACTTGCTCAAGTTCCTCTAGCCCTGCAGGCCAAACGGCAGGCAGCAGCAGGGATGTGCCTCTCCAAGGAGGGCAGTGGAGCTCTGGCCAAGGATGCAAGAAGTCGCCCACCCTTGAGGCCCCCGGAAAACCCTTGTGCTCAAGGTGCAGTGCACAGCAGCCTGATCCAGCTTGGCACCGTCCTGAGTGGAAGACATGGGCTGTGCCAGAGATTGCCCAGGAATACAGCCAGGCAAGAGGAGCTGAGCAAGGCCCTATGAGAGTCCCAGGCTGAGGCGGAAGCAGGGAGGCGGGGCCTTCGAGGGAGAGGTGGGTTCTGTCTAGGGAGGCAGGGTCTGGTGGCTGTACTGAGGAGCCCCACCTGCACTCAGAGGCCCTGAGACACCCAGAGGTCTCACCTTTGCCACCTGGACCACAGTCTTGCTGAGCTCTTCTATCTCATCCTCGCTGTCTAAGACGTTCCGGAAATCATCGTAAGTCCAGTCCTCAAACAGAAGACGAGGCACTGGAGGTGGGGACACAGAGGTTGTGACAGTAATCCCAAATTACCCTCCTTTGCTGGTGCCCCCTAAAAGGTGCCCCCTAGGCTCCCAGAGCTGAGTAAGAATGGAGACAGATGAGGACGCCACCCAAGACAGCTACAGGTGCAGCACACCCACCCCAGTGCAGAGAGGGGAGACCGGCCAGGGGAGGAGCATGGCTGCACTGACAGCTTCTCTCCCCACCAGACTCAGGGCTGGGCAGATGCTGGCTCGGCTGGCTCCCGGCTGCCCATGGTCTGTCTGCAGCCATCTCTTCCCTCAGTCTGACCAGAAAGGTCCCACCATCCTCATATGCAGGGCCCCTCCTGGCCCTGGGCCTCACTCGCTCCTGAGTCCTGGCCCAGACCCTGCACTCAGGGAGAGCTGTGACCTGGGGGCAGGGCCGCATCTCAGCCCCATCTCTGACCCTGACCACACACTCACTGCTGCCCAAGCTCCCACCGCAGGCAGGGATACATACCCTCTGCTAGGCAGGGCCAACCTCACACTCAGGCCTGGTCTGGGGCTGGCCCCAGGGAGCTCAGAAGCGCTTGTTAGATGGGTGAAGGAAGAAAAGGGAAGGAGGACAGGGCTGGCCTTGGTGGCCATGGTCCATGCATGTCACGGTGGGGCCAGTCTTGGTTAGAGCTGTCAGGGGCGGGACCTGCACTTGAGCAGTGTGGCTGGGCCTGAAAGGACCCATGAGACCCTCAGGGCCCTGTCCACCCCAGTAGGTGGTGCTACCTCCATTGAGGCTGCAGCTGCTCCCTGATGGCTCTCAGGCCTGCTGGGCTCACCTATGTGCAGGCCTTTGGCGTGTTTCCTCACAGCTCGCATCCAACCTGTGGGACATGGTGGAGAAGCCACGTGCTGGAGCAGTCCCAAGCCGGGAGACCCAGCTCATCCAAGGAGGAAAACCAGCAAAACGTAGCATCAGCACACAGGGTAGCTTAGCCCCCGGGCAGAGCAGGCCGGAGTGAGAACCCACCTGCCCCAATCCAGGGACAGCCCTCCCCTCTCCCCATCCCCTAGAGCAGCTCTGAGCTTACTTTTTTTTTTGGTACCGGGATGGAACTGAGGACCTTGCACTTGTGAGGCAGGCGTGGTGGTGCTGAGCTACATCCCTGGCCCCGAGCTTACTTTTTCTCTCCAGCATAGGGATGGTCTGAGTTAGGACAGAGCTGTATCTCACACTATTCTGAGGGCTGTTTCTCCGAGCTAAGGGGCAGCCAGCACCCACCAGGCATTCCCTAACACACTGTCCTCTCCCTGCAGTCCTCACAGCATTAGGAAAACCACTCCTCAACTCAGAACTTCAAAACCTGCCTGCTAACATGAGGCTCAGCCCCGTAACCTCGAGCGCTCTGACAGGATGTGTTGGCAGCAGTGTCCTGCCCGGCCTCATCTCGTCCCTGAACACTGAGGAGAACCCCCAAGGTGGGACAGAGGAGAGGGTGCCAACAGCCCGTGCCCTTCACTGCTCAGGGTGCTCCACATTTCATGTGCAAAGGAAGTCCTGGCACACAGGCCCCAGCCCCCAGGGCTGAGCTGGGTCCACAGAGGGTCCCCTAGCACTGGCCACCTCCACCCGGCCCGTCCTGCCCTGCTCGCCTGCCAGTCCCCACCATGGGTCTGCACGCCGGGCTGTGTCCCTGCGAGGGAGCAGGTCACATTCATCACACTTACACCAATGCCCAGAGACACGGCTGCAGTCACACTCGATGTACTCTCATTCACACATTCTCAACAGGCATCCCACGTAGGCCCAGCATCACATACACCCACTTCCACACGCACAGACACACACACAGATGCACGCACTCTTCTCAGACGAGCAACGAGCAGATGGGAGAAGGCGAGAACCTTGGTCCACATCGTGGAGGCCTGTGACCTCAAACATCTCCCGGCCACGCCTCTTCAGCTGTAGCCAGACGGGTGAGATCTGCGTGAACTTGCTCCCGAAGACCTTGGCCACGTCATAGCCGTGGCTGTTCCACTGGCGGGGGAGACAGCAGACAGAAGTGGGTGAGTGCTTCTCTGCTTCGCCATCGCACTGTCATCCTGGCTGCCCTGCACTTGCCAGCCCAGGCAGCTGGCTGGTGCAGACGGCGCTCAGCCTGGGCAGACATCAACCCCCGCCTGGGGTGCCCTCCTCCCGTTCTCAAGAGCTGCTGGGACGGCTGCTCCCGGCCTGAGATCCTGGCCACCTCCCCCTCACCAAGGTGATCAAGCCTCATCTCTGAGTCTCATCCCAAGCCAGCCACCCTGAGCGTGGCCACATGGCCTGAGAGCCCTCTAGACGCAGGGTGCATCTGCAGTCACGAGGCAAAGGCCCAGAGAAGTCCTGGTGCCTTTCCTCCCGCCATCTCCAGGACAGCACCTCTGTCTGCAGTCTCACAACAGCAGCTGCCCAGGGAGATGAGCACACAGGAGGAAGCGGCCAGCACCATGGGTGGGAGCAGCCCACCAGAGCCCTCAAGGCCCCTGCACCATGAGGGCTGGACTCACGGGAGTGACATAGCCCAGGACAGCCCCAGTGAAGTTCCTCTCCCGTGCCTTTGCGGAGCAGTAGCTGCGATGCTCGAGGACCACATCTTCAGCTTTGAAGTCTGTCACCACCAGATCCCGCTCTTGGACGGGCTTATCTGAAAATTGTGTCTGAAACAGCAGGAAAGGGAGGAGGCCTTCAGTGTGCACACCCAGCGTGGAAGGTGGCACTGGGGAGCCTGTCAGTTCAGCCACGGCCCACATCTCTGGGTCAACATGGTGAGCCTGGCTGGAGACCTGGCAGATGGAGGACCAAGGCATGGCAGGGTCTCAGGTCCTGCCTGTCCAGGAAGGCTGGGCCAGAAGGAGACCCACCCCTGCATCCAGAATCCCTAGGACTGTCCTAAAAGAACAACACAGGTAGACAGCGGCAGCTGTCAGTGGCCATTCCCCGTTTTTGTCTCTTCTTTTGGTACTGGTGATGGAACCCAGGGCCCTGCACACACCGAGCAAGCGCTCTGCTGCCGAGTGACAATGACCGCTCTGTGCCCACCCTTCTTCAGGCCCGCTCACACCACTCAGTACGCATCTGGGCACCAAAGGCCACTGGAGAGAATGTGCTAGGCCTGTGCGGCCCCACTGCCCAAGCCCACTGCACCTCCACATGTGTCTCCTGTGCCCTGAGAACCTGCCTCCCCTCCCGAGCCTCTGCTCCTGAAGTCTTTGACCATGTTCTCAGCTTGCTGGTTCTGTGCACATTCCAAGGCTCAGCTCAGCTCAGCCTCCCCAACCTCAGCCCGCAGAGCTCTGTGAGAGAGAGATGCCCACTGTGTGTTTCCCTGGCCCAAAGCAGGAAGAGTCCTGTGACAGCCTGGTTAGCAGCATGGGGTCTGCAGGGTCAAGGGTAGGCTGGACTAGACCCCTCCTGGAGTTTACAATCCCTGGGGACACCAGAGGGACAGCACAGGGCTGCAATGTGGTCACAGCTTGCACCAGAGAAGGTAATACTGGTGGCACAGAATGCAGAAGCTGAAGTAGGAAGAGCAGATGGCAGCTGTCACAGGAAATGGGCCACGTGGGGAGCCACAGGGGGAGAAGGGTACCACCGAGCAACCTGTCACTTTCAGAATGTGGCTCCAGGGACTGCTTGCTTAGAGCCGCAGTGGCCAGACCCCAGAGCTGCCCAGGCCACAGGCCAGCCACCACTCAATCGCCAACTAACTGTGGCTCATCCGATGGCCTCTCTGTTGGTCTGCCTCACAGCCCCAGCCAGGCAAGGAAAAAGGTGGCAGGGGGTCACCTCACATCTTCAGGCACCCTACCTTTTCCAGTAGTGTCTTTGAGGCAGCTTTTCTGGCATCTGACTTTGACAAAGTAGCACTGACTGAGCCCCAGGCCAGAGCAAGCCAGAGGATGGGGAGGGTGGGAAGGGGTGTCCACATGGTGGGCAGTCACAACAGGGTCAGCCCCCAGGGCCAGATGGCTGTGGAGAGAACAGAGCACACAGAGAGCTGACTGCAGGGACACAGTGTGGCCAGCGTCCCCCTGCTGAAGGGCCTGGCTCCTTGGGCCCCAGGACTGGGCCCTGTCCTGGGCCAGCCCAGTGGCTAGAGGCAAGTCTCTAGACTCCTGGGCTCCCCTGCCTGGACCAGCAGCTCCTCTAAGGTTCCAGACACAAGTTCTGTCACCACTGGCCACAGGGCCACCCCCAACTCCCTAGGCTGTCCTGACCACAGCCCATTGGCTAGGAAAATGCTGTCTCCCACTTTCACCTCAAACCTAAGGAAACCTCAGCCATACTGAAACATAAAATAATGGAGCCACAAAAGGCACCAGAAAAAATTATGAAGATCTATTTACATAACATCAAGGTAGGGAAGGCTTTTCCAACCCACATGGAAGAGGTTATGAAAGAAAACACCGTCAAAGTTTACTACATAAAAATGTAAAACTGGCCCAGGGGATTTAGCTCAGTGGTGCCACTGCCTGCCTCGAAAACGCAAGGTCCTGAGTTTGATCCTAGGTACCAAAAAAAATGTAAAATGTCCAAAGCCAGGCACAATGGCACATACCTGTACTGTTAGCTACTCAGGAAGCTGAGGCAGGAGGATCACTTGAGCCCATGAGTTCCAGGCTAGACTGGGCAACATAAAGCAAATCTTTTGTTGTTTGTTGAGAGAGGGTCAGGCTGGCCTTGAACTTACCATGTAGCCCAGGCTGGCCGGGAACTTGTGGTGATCCTCTTGCCTCAGCCTCCCAAGTGCTAGGATTACAGGCCTATGCCACTATGCTCAGCTAACACAAATTTTTCATTCAGGAAACAAAATAGCAAACTTACTTCTTTACTTACTTTTTGGTGCTGGGGATGGAGCTCAGGACCTTGCGTTTGCGAGGCAGGCGTGGTTCCACTGAGCTAAATTTCCAGTCCCTACAAATTTAAAAGCAAATAAGTCAGGGGTGGGGGATGTAGCTCAGTGGCACCGCGCCTACCAGGCAAGCGCAAGGTCCTGAGTTTGATCCCCGGTAACAAAAAAAAAAAAAAAAAAAGGCAAATAAGTCAGAAAAAATATATTTGGAACATACCTGGCAATGGGTTTCTACCCATAATCTATCCATGATATACAAATCAAGAATAAAAGGGGCTGGGGATTTAGCTCAGTGGTTCAGCTGCCTGCCTTGCAAGCACAAGGACCCAAGTTTGATCCCTGGTACCAAAAAAAAAAAAAAGAAGAAAGGGCTAGGAATAGTGGCCCATGCCTGAAATTCCAGATACTCAGAAGGCTGAGGCAGGAGGGTCACAAGTTCAAGGCCAGCATGGGCAGCTCATCAAGACTGCTGCCAAGAAAAAAAATCAGAAGGGCTAGCATGCAGCTCCATAGTAGAGCCACTTGCCTAGCATGGGTGAAATCTGGGGTTCAATTTCCAAAACCACAAAGGGGGGGGCAAGAAGAGGTACAGTTTAATATGGGTACTGAGAGCCCCAGAAATGAGCAGTTCAGCCTCACCCAGGAGCAGCCATAGCGCTCAGGGCACAGAGGATGGAGAGATGGCTGCACGGGGGTCTGGCAAGGCCTCTCGGACTGAGGGGGAATGTGCACCGGGAAGAGCTTTGCAGATGAGAGTCCAGTCACAATGTCACACTGTCCAGTGTGCACTCCTTGCACCCTCCAGCTGCACACTGGGGACACCGGGGACGTCCACACAAGAACCACTCACTGGACCTAACATATCTGGTGCTGCATAGAGCACCATGGCACTCACAACTGTGCCAGTAGAAGCACAAACATCACAAAACTACATTTAAGTGGCATGGGCCTGTTTGTACGTGCGCATAGCCATGTGAAAAAGTATACAGGGCTGGGTCACCTGCACCCAGCTGAATCCCAGCTACTCAGGAGGCTGAGGCGGGAGGATCCCATGTTCAAAGCCAGCCTGGGAAACTTAGTGAGACCTCGCCTCAAAATAAAAATAAAAAGGACTGGGGCTGTAGCTCAGTGGTACAGCACCCCTAAAACTATTTAAGGAAGCTAAAAGTAAACAAGCTGGTTATCAGGAATTACCGCTCATTTCATCTCTTCTATCTGCACTTTCTGGTTTTTCTGCACGGAACCTCCCCTCCCTTTGGTACTTGATTGAACCCAGAGCCTTGGCACTGAGCTATATCCCCAGCTATTTTTATTTATTTTTAAGTTGGTAACCTGCCTGGGCTGGGCTCAAACTTGTGACCTTCCTGCCTTGGCCTCCCATGGGGATTTACAGGTGTGCGACACCATGCACAGCTGCCCTGAACTTCTACTAGTGGTAGGGTTCATTTTCAGATTCTAAGCAATTCTGCTTCCTTGGTTTGCATTCTCTGAGGGCAGCTGGGCAACATGCATGGCTCAGCCACGCCGAGGCCTCCGAGCCCTCAGGATGTCAGGCACATGGGAGCCCGTCACCTAGTCCGACCAGCTGCAGGTCCCGAGGAGCCCAGGCAGAGAGCCATAGGCACTTCTGCGGACAGCAGAACACAAGCCAAAGAGGCCCAGGAGCTCTGACCAGAGCCAGGCCCACTCTGGCTCCCCCCACAGACTCCAGCTGGGCACCTGCAGGGCACATGCCAACCTATTCCACTGCCATTTCCTGGGGTAAGCCCTGGCCCCCAGGGCATTGCCCACACATGTGTGTAAAGTGGCAGGCACAGGACAGCAGGCTGAGGAGCTAGGAGCTAGGAGGGGAACGTACAGGTGTGTAGGACAGCACTGTGCACTGCCTGTGGAGCACCAGGCAAGGGCAGCAACTGTTCTAAGAGTCGCAGCCATCTTGAGGGGTGAGACCCAGGCCTGGATCACAGCCCTCCATGCCTGGTGCCTTCCCCACCATCCCCTCTCCAGTGTCAGAATCTGAATCAAGGGGCAACAGCCTCCCCCTAAACCACCATCTGGGCGCTATGCTCTGAGGTTTGGGCTGGGTGGCTCACACCCCAAGGGGATGGAGTGGATGAGGTGGCAAGTAGCCCAGAATCACCTGCAGCTTGCCTGGGCAGGCTGAGACTGTGGCTACCACAGGCCCTTCCATGGCTACAGGCTCCTTCTCTTCCCTGGGTGACATGGGTCACTGAAGTGATGAGAAACCAAACAGGGGAATCTTCCAGGTAAGTGGTCCAGAAGAAACCTAAAGGGGTGCCTGGGTGCCCACTACCTGCCATGGACTGTTCCTGCAGCAGGGCCAATGTCCACCCACCTGGAGCCCCACCATCTACCACTTCCCAAGTCCCCAACCTCCAGGAAGGAAGAGGAAAGTAGAGGGGCCCTATCTGGACATGCGGGGGAGGATGGTGGGCCTGTTTGCTTCTGTATCTGGCATGAGAAGAACCAGATGGGGGGCAAAGCCAGAGCCAGGGCTGCCACTGAGCACCCACTCCCCGGAGTCTATGGGATGGATGAAGCCCTGGATGCAGGCATTTCCTGAGTGCTGGATTCTATATTCCCAGGCCGACTGCCAGGGAAGTGTCTGATGTGTGTGTGAGGGTGTTCAGGCTGCCACACTTCCCATGCCCACCCCTTCATGCCACTGGTCACTACTCCAAGGCCAATGAAGGCCAACTTTCCATTGTGCTCTTCATATAGCTGACTCCTGAGTTCTCATATACTGTTCTTGCATCAAAATGTGTGAACAAAGTGCAGTGTGTTGTGACACTGGCCAACCACACCTTAGAACCTGCTTCATAGCAAACTAACAGTGATGCTGGGTGTGGTAGGACTGCACCTATAATTCCAGCACATGGTTGGCAGACTGAGGCAGAAGGATCCCAGCAAGTTCAAGGCCACCAACTACAGGAGGAGATAGTCTCAAAAAAACAAAAATAAATAAACAAGCTAACAAACAAAAGCAGAGTGCTGTTTCTGTTCTGAGGCTCTGAGTCCCACAGCACTGGTCAATGAAATGCAAATGCTTTTCAAGCAGACCCACAATAAGAAAGGAACCAGCATGTGCAAAGGAAAAGAAGTTGATTGAAACTAACCTTCCTCAGTGACTTACTCTGACTTTTGCTAAGAACTGGTTTCTACTGCTTAGGCTGATCCCAATTTCGGTACTGCATGATGTGAGGAATGTTGATCGATGTACCCTGGGTGCCTGTATTTTTCTGTTTGTTTTTTTGGTACTGGGGATTGAACTCAGTCCCTGTGCTTGAGAAGCAGAGGGCAAAACCACTGAGCTAAATCCCTGGTCCTGCCTGTCTTTTTTTTCAGTGTTAGGGACTGAACACTGTGCATGCCAAGTGCTCTACCACTGAGCCACTCCTTAAGCCCTGAGCTAATTGTTACCAGACAGGCCGTTCTTACAGCAAGTAGCGTGGTTGTCACATATCTGTGGTCACCTCTGAGGACACAATTTAGAGCCAATGGCGTTCTCGTGGTGCCACGTGAGTGTGTATGCTCAGAAATAAAGGGGGCATAGGAGGCAGAAATCATAACCCCGTGTAATGTTTATTGACCATGTGTAGCATGCCAGCCTAGTGTTTGCCCATGGCTTTCTCCATACCCCGGGACATAGTTACCCCATTCAAGGATGAGGAGACTGACCCAGCAGGCAGCCTGCTCACCACTGGGGCGCACAGCCACGGCACTACACCAATTTCACAGCGCAGTGGAAACAGGACAGCTATGGGGTGGCGCAAGGTCCATTTCGGTCACCAGCCTGCGGTCCCTCGACCTCTCTGGGCTTCAATATAGAACCTGCGAAGCAAGGGGCGGGCTAGTCACCCTCCAGCATGGAGTCTCCAGCCCTTCGCAGAGGGGGACATCTGGCTTGCTGCATCCACAAGCTCAAGGGGCCACCTGTGCGCACTCGGGGGACACCCAGGGGCCTCGCCCGTGCCCTCCGGCCCGGGACCTGCTAGCCACCACCATTACACTAACTGCACTCATTCTCCGCACCAGCTTCCACTCAGAACTCCCGTGTTCTGGTCCTCTATGCACGTTCAATGCACGCTCTGCCCGTCCCGCATACTGCCTCCTTTACAGCGCACTGGCTCCCGGCCTGGGTCTCGTCGCTTTTGCTCCTCCACACTCGCACATACTGGCTCGCATTCACGCGTGTTCACACTTCTTCGCTCCCACACTCGCCCACCTGCACACGCACACACTCACATACTCCCACACGCGCACGCGCTCGCCGGGCGTCGCCCGCGCCTCTCGCCCCTTCAGGTCCCTGGAGGAGCCCCGCCGCCCACCGCGCCCACCGCGCCCACCTCAAGGAGGGGAAGCCCAGGCAGCACGAGGAGGCGGGGCAGGGCAGCCGCCCGAGGCTCACCTTCACGCCCGAGGCCAGTCGGCCCCCTAGCGCCGACCGGAAGATGCCCCAACGCTCCGGAAGTCCCGCCCACAGCCCAGGGCTCACGCCACGCTAGCCTCTGACCGCCGCGCGCGGCACACTGGGATGGGCGGGGGCCGTGGGCGGGGCTTACGAGGCACCAGCGCTGCTTTCCCCAGTGCGGCAGCTCCTAGTAGCGTAGCGCCATCTAGGGCTGAGACACGCTGTGTACCAGGCTGTGTGATCTGGATAGCCCACACCCGCGCGTCTGGAATCCGGGCTTTGAGTCCTGTCCCCCGTATTGCAGGTTGAGGGAGCGGGAACCCGGAGGCAAACAGGCCCCTAACCCATCTCAGGCGCCCCCCCAGGCCTCACGCTGTAGCGTGCACGCGTGGCCACTTCTCAGTCACTAGCCGCCAGGCCCCACCTCATTCCTCAGCTGTTCCCTGGCAGCTTTCTGCAGAAACCTCACCGCTAGTCTCCACCCAGCCCCAGCTCCAGGCCGACTGTGAGGCCAGTTCCCTGTTCCTGCTGCCTCGGAGTCTTCTCCACAAGGGAGTTGTGGTCGATCTTTCTGATCACGTTTCCTTCTTTCTCTTCCTCCTATTTTCTGGCAGCTGTCCCCGTCTTTCCTGGGGGGCTGGGAGTGTGTAGTGAGGCTGTCTGCTTTCCTGGTATCCAGCTCAGCACCTCGCTGCTGGCAAGTGGCCCAGATGACCCCAAGTCGAGCGAGCAGAGCTCTGGAGAGGGCCTCTGAGCTGTGCGGGGTGTCCTGGGAGTCATGCAGGCGCTTAAATGGGAGAAGCATTGGAGCCGGGGATTTAGCTCAGTGGTTCCGCCGCCTGCTTTGCAACGACCCAAGTTCGATCCCGGTACCAAAAAAAAAAAAAAAAAAAAATGGGAGAAGCATTATCTTCCTCAGCGTCCCCTCCAGATCTGAGGTCCTTGAACTAAAGAGCAAAAACCCACTCTGGGTGCACCCCACTCACCTGCAGAGTCCCTTTGGGCACGGCTGGAGGCCTATTGAGTTGCCAGCTGGCACCAAGGGGCCTCAGGTCCCTGCGTTGAAGCTGGCTTCTGTCAGCCACAGCAGGCAGAGAAGGTCGAGACTCGAGCACAGAAAGCCTGAGCGCCAGAGCTGTTACCATTTCTATATTGAGTGAACCCTGACCACAGCTGTTTCACCTTCAGGTTTCTGAAGCATCTAAAATAACTTGGGGTTTACTACATTGAAAAACATTTTTTTTGGTACCGAGGATCGAACTTGGAATCTTGCCCTTGCAAGGTAGACAGCAGAACCACTGAGGTAAATCCCCGGCCCTTGGAAATTTTAATCTATTTGAGTTCATCAATTCAGATAGAAAGTACAGAAAAAGGATACTTTATAAATTTATAGATTCAGATTGACCGGGTGCGGTGGCACATGCCTATAATCCCAGCACTTGGGGGCTGAGGCTGGAGGATTATAAGTTCGAGTCTAGCCTGAGCTACAGAGCAAAATCCTTAAAATCCAGAAGAAATTGGGCTTTGAATTTAGGTGTTCAATGAGCTGATCCTATGGATTTGAATTTAATGTCCGCCTGGGTCTTACCACCTTGGCCAGGCACTAAACTAGGCTTCAGCACCATCCCCAGCCCCTATCGGGATGGTGAGGGGTAGCCCAGCTAAGGCTGCCCTGCCTGCTTGCCGTGGACACTGGAGGGCAGGAGGGGGAGGGACAGCCATCATGCACAGAGGGACCTGCAAATTCCAGCATCGCCGTCCCTGGGGACTGAAACCCTGCTTTTGCTGTCGGACAACTCAGTCTGGTCCCCGGCCAGCAAGGTGCCTGCCTCTTGGGGGTGGCCTGGAGGCCTCCCTGGGCAAGTGCTTGGTGCCCTGGGGCAGGGCTTGCTTCTTCCCTGGGCTGGCCAGTGCCCTGGGTGGGTGAGGGTGGGGCCCTGGCTTTGTGGGTGGCCGTGGGCTGTTCCTCATTTGCCAAGTCAGCACAGGCAAAGCCCTTCCTGACAGTGGCTTCCGTGACTCTGTCCTGTTCTAAGGAGAGGCCTTGGCTGGTGTTAGCCAGCGAGCAGGACATGGGCCACTATTGCTGACTGTGTCCTGCCTGTCCTGGCCCCTGGGGACATTCTGGCTTAGAGACGGGAAGTCTAGGAAGAGGGACACACACCAGGCCTCCTGCACAGACTCCATCCCTGTGGTCACACATCCTCCCTGGGTGCTGGGATAAGCAAATCCAAGGGAGCAGGAAACAGGAAGCTGCATGTGCACATGCAGGGATGCTTGGGATGGAGGTGCAGAGCCAGCACAGCAGATTCTTGTCCATGTTCCCCATGAGGGCCCTGTTGGCTGGGCTGGCCGAGGCCAGGGTGACATCTGTGCAGAGGAGTCTGGTCACAGCCAGTGGGGGCTAAGGCCCAGGGCAAGTGTCAGAGATGGCATTTTCTGTCCTTGTGCATTAGCACTAAGAGAAGGACCCTGTGTTCCAAGGCCCCAGGCACAGGTTTCCTTCTCTCAAGATCCTGCAAACAACTCAAAATCCTGAAAACCAAAGGGAGGGGACTGGGTGTGCAGTATCCCCGAGTGTGCCCTAAATCCAGTGACCGAGGTCCTCAAAGAGGAAGGAGAGACAGACACAGGTAAGAGGGCCATGAGAAGACAGGGGTATGCATGGGGTCACAGGGCTTCTGCCCAGGGCCCCAGGGAAATGACAGCTGGTGTGGGGCCTGGGAGGAGACTCCCCCTCCCAGCGTCCAGGAGGACCCCACCCAGCGGACCCCTTGATTTTGCACTTCTGTCCTCCAGAATGTGAGGAATAAATTCCTGTGGTTTGGAAGCACCTGGCTTGCAGCTGTTTATCACAGCAGCCCCTGGGTACCCATTCTGCCATGTCGAACCCCTCACCCCATGATATTTTCTGTCAGTTGCTTTCTTTCCTGAAAGTTTTTCTCAGGACAATTTTAAAATGAACGTGTCTTACATCAGCTCACCCTGGTGGGGCCCACAAAGGAGCAGGGCTGAGTGCCAGGGGCAGGGTGGGTGCTGCCCAAGAGGAATGCTTGCTGCAAAATACCCCAGGCCATGCATGGCCAGCCTGGCCTCGGGGGTCCAGGGGGTAGGGGGTGGGGCTGTGGGTCCCCCCTGCTGGACAGAGAAGTGACAACACCCTGGGGGAAGGCTGGGACTTTTAAAGCTACCTTGTGGGCACCTCTCCGACTAGTGTCACCTGATGCATTGCTCCTGTGGTTTTGGTCACGGGGGGGGGGGGTGCCATTTCCTGACAGTTGACAGTGGTGTTAAGACTGGAGGGAGAAGTCGAGGATGGTGGTGCCTACCTGTAATCCCAGCACTCTGAAGGTTGAGGTAGGAGGATCACCCTGAGTTCAAGGTCAGCCTGAACTACATAGTGAGACTTTTTTTTTTTTTTGGTACCAGGGATCAACTCGGGTCCTTAGCTTTCGAGGCAGGCGGTGGAACAACTGAGCTAAATCCCCGGCCCTACATAGTGAGACTTTGCATCAAAAAACAAACAAGCGGACAAAAAAGACTTGAGGGAGAGGATATAAATGGTTCTGATGGCAAGACCTGGGCAGCATGGGGGACTTCTCAACATGCCTCAGACTCAAACTGAATGGTAGTCCTGCATTGCTGTTGGGGTTCACCTTGCACCCTCAGGCATGGTAACAGGCATTCATTAGGATCTAGGTTTGGCTGGGATAACACAGCCCCCAACAACAGTGGTGTAGGTAGGCCTGTTCTAGGCTGGCCTGGAGACAGATGATGGCATGATGCTTGTCCAAGATGGAATTCCCTCTATCAAAACCAGTGTCTCTAATCCCCCAGCCCTTAGGAGGCTGAGGCAGGAGAATGGTGAGTTTGAGGACAACCTTGGCAACTTAGCAAGACCTTGTGTCAAAAAACAAAGCAATTCAGGTTCCCAGTAGAGGGGTGGGAGAGAAGCCAAGGACTCAAAATCCTGTCCCCAAAACATCACCTCTGTTATGGGATGATTTGTTTCTCTGAAAACTGCTACATAATCCTGACTTCAAAAAGCTGGGCATGGTGGTGGCACACCTGTAATCCCAGCATTGTGGAGGCTGAGGCAGGAGGATTGCTGGGAGTTCAGGGCCAGGCTGGGCTACATAGTGAGACCCTGTCACAAACAAACAAACAAACAAACACAAATGAAATCCTGACCTTGGAATGTGCCTTTGCAGCAGTACTTCCATGCTCATCATTGTGGGTTCTGGGAGGTGTAAAGAGCACAAAGATGATGTGCAGTAAACAGATGGCTCTGGCTGAAAGAGTATGGAGTCACAGGGTAACAGACACCAACAAGTTCTAGTTTGCATATCAAGTACCAAACAAATAAGGTGCACATAGGAGTGCACAGTGAATCCAATTCCGTGAGGCTCAAAGTGGTCGAGTGTCTAGGTACGACTGGATTTGGGGACAGGACCGTGGCAGATGTGATTAGCGCAGAAGACAGTCACTAGAGTGGGCCCTAGCTGTGTGTGTGTGCGTGCATGCGCACGCGCGTGTGTGTGTGTGTGTGTATGTTTCTGGCACTAGTGATTGTACCCAGGATCCCCAGCCTCTCTCCCCCCCCGCCATTTTGTGACAAGATCTTGCTAAATTACCCATGCTGGACTCAAACTCACAGTTCTGCCTCAGTCTCCTACAGTGCTGCGATTCTATGTGTCACGGTGCCCAGTGTTTTTTTTTTTTGTGGTACTGGAGATCGAACCCAGGGGTTGATGCATGCTAGGCAACCACTTATCTGCTGAGCTACATCCTCAGTCTTTTTTTTTTTTGTACTGGGGATCAAACTCAGGACCTTGTGCTTGAGAGGCAGGCGCCGGAACCACTGAGCTAACTAAATCCCGGCCTCAGTCCTTTTTTTAAAAAAAAAAATTTGGGGGGCCGGGGATTTAGCTCAGTGGTTCCGGTGTCTGTGCTGCAAGCGCAAGGTCCCAAGTTTGATCCTTGGTACCAAAAAAAATTTTCTTTTTTAAATTTTGAGACAGATTCTTTCCAAATTGCCCTGGCTGGTCTCAAGTGTGC